CATTCCGGTAGGGGGGGGGGTAAAAGTCATAAGTCCCGCGATACCTCCAGTCACACGGCTGCACCGCGCCTATATCTGACCGCACCGTGTTGGCACAGCTCAAAGCAATCATTCAAGCTATCGGACACCCCAATCAATGGCGCGGTGTCGTAAATATGTGCTTAATTACGACGACGCCGAGTTGGTGCTGCGGCCGCATTCTTCGGCATACCTCCAGCACCACATGTTGGTTTGGGCCCAATGACGGCTTGTGCGACAGCCGGGGGCCTGGGAACACAGCTCAATTGTTTTCGTGTGTCGAAGTGGGGGTGTTTTCGGAAAGTTATTTGCGGTGTCGTACATGAGCATCTTATTTACGACACCGCCGAGGTGGTGCGGTGACGCTATTTTGAGCCATATGTCAGCAACCACCGGTCACTATGACACGAACGAGGGCTTGCGCGACAGCTGAGAGCCGTAGGAACGCAGACGATGTTACTTCGAAGCATTTTGTGCGGTGTCGTAAAATTGCTGTGCGAGATCGATGTCGTAAATGGCATTGCCGTTTGGAAAAATACACGGAAACCGGAAGAAAGAGCTACTCCATGGTACGTCATAGCACGCAACATGCACGTAAGCAACTCCGTTGGTCTCCCACGAGTCACGGCTATTCGGCAAATCAGGAAAGTACAAGCGTTAGGTGTGGTGAAATTTTCGCAGCGATTGACCATCGCATCAACACAGGGTGCGCGGATTTGTACAGAGTGCTGTAGATAGGGTTTGGCCTGTGGAGCAGATACGGCCTATCTGCTCCATCGCCCTTTGAGCCACCGAGCCCCCGTGGGTGGGCGTTTCTCTGCACCGACTGGTCCGATTGGGGTGTGCAATGGCTTGAATGATAGTTGTGGGCCTTGCCAACACAATGCAAGTCTTCGTGGGGTAAACGACGCCCTGTAGATAGGGTTTGGCTTGGTGGAACAGATATAGGTTATCTCCTCCGCCGGCCTTTGACCCACTGACCCCCCGTTGGCGGACGTTTCTCTGCACACACTGGTCCGATTGGGGTGTCCAATAGCTTGAATGATTGCTTTGAGCTGTGCCAACACGGTGCGGTCAGATTTAGGCGCGGTGCAGCTGTGTGACGGGAGGTATAGCGTGACTTATGACTCCCCCCCCCCCCTTGATGCTGCGGAACCCCCTCGATTGACCATACCTCTGCAGGAACATATCGGGTGTGAGTGTCCGATAGCTTGTATGACCGGTACGGACCGTGCCAACACGATTCAAAAGGTTTGGGGCCAATTAAAGCTTTGTGGACGGAGGTTCGAGATGACTACTGCTTCTGAGATGCTGCGGAACCCCCGTTTTTTCAGCTTATCTCTGCATCCACTGGTCGCACTCAGCTTCTACGCAGCGTGTAGCGCATACCCACACGATACAATTGGTTTGAGGTCTATTTGAGCTCTGTGGGCGGAGATCTGCCCGGTGGAACAAATACGAAGTTACTCCAGCGGTGGAGCAAATAGCAGTGCCGTTTTTTGTGTTACATTCTGGATGAGGCCTGCTGATGGGTTGGCGGCACACATCTACGGAGACCGAAGTATTCTAGATAAATAAGAGAGTTCAATTTTGCTCGATTTATTTCATCTGCCAGCTCATTGGCCCCCAGGTCGAACGGTTTTAGCCCACCAAGGTTTCCCAACTCAGGGTGAATGGGACCTGCAGCACACGCGAAAGTCAAACTTAAGGAGAGTTCAGAACATGGGTCCGGTGGCTTCTAGAACATGTACAGTATCGATATTCGTAGAGCTTGTCCCGCCCACGCCTGGGCGGAGAAAGATCTACGGAGATCGAATACGCAAAACTCATGTAAACTTCCTCCCCAACCCCCAATGCTATGCAGGCGAAATCCCGGCGTCTCTAGGACAGCTCAGCGAACTGCAAAATCTTGTTCTCTGGAAAAATCGGCTCAGCGGTAAGCGTCCCCAGCTCAATTGGCATGTACACAAGTTTTTGGTTTGTTTAGATGCACGATCTCCGTAGATCCTGTCCCGCAAACCACGTGAGATCTGTGTTTCGCACTAATTGTATGGAAAACTAATGTGCTGCTTTTTTTTCTCCATCTCGCCCTACAACCTGGTGCAGGAACTATACCCGAGGCGCTGGGGAACCTCTCAGCTCTAGTGTCCCTGGGGATCAGCGACAACAACCTGGAAGGTGATCGAACAACTTGGTTTTTCTTCTGAATTCTGGAGAAGCAGCATGCATGAATCCCGCCCACGCGTTGGCAGGACCAGTGTAGTTCTGAAAGCTTTATCACCCTGAGAATCCTGATTTGTTTCCCCCGCTATGCTGCTGCAAATGCATTAGCGAAAGGAACGAAATGTATTTATCCCGGCTTGTAGAACACACGTACTCACCCCACGCGTGGGTGGAACAAGATCTACGAACAACCTGAAAGTCTGGTGATTCCTCAGTTTTGTTCGTACCACTGTGCTGACCTGGGCAGGGCCAATACCAAAGGAGATGGGGAACCTCACTCAGCTGAAGCAGCTCGTCTTGCACAACAACAACCTCACCGGTAAGAGATACTGAACTTCGCGTGCTCTCCTCTGTATCTCTGGTTGTTTACCGCTTCTGGAACATATGCCCTGCCTATGCGTTGGCAAGAAGGGGTTCTGCAAGCGGCAGACGTTGGAGGTAAAAACTGTACGACCCCGCCTTTCCCTTAAAGCTGATTGTCGCGCTGAACGAGCTTCTTCAGCTCTGTGAGGGCTCCAAGCTCCCTGGGTATCGGCCCTGCACCAAACAGCGAATGGTGGTGAGAAATTGTGTGATGAAGCTCCTATAGTGTCTTGCCTACGTAGATGATTGTTCTTGAAACAGTAAACCGGGACAATATTCGTGTCAAGCATCAAGAAGGGTTCCCTGGTTTTGGATGTATTCGCTTGCGCATCGGAAGACCGTTTTATTCTTCGAAAATACGCCGGTCTGACCTATTTGGTAGACTGGTTTTCGCTGAAGAAAACGTAGTTTGTTGAAGCCTCTGAGGTGCTCGGAGATCATTCCTGTAGAATCAGACGAAACGCAAACAGGGGTATTGGGACATGGAAATATGAATATGTCTAGCGATCGTTTGCCTTAAAAGTCGCGGTATTACTCGGGGGTGCCTAAAAGCGGGCTTCTCCTCATGTCATTTCTTGTAATCGGCCGAAACCGTCTCTGCAGGGTTTAACAATCGGTGAAAAACACCTTTCCCGATTTCAACTGAGTTACATGAATCGTTTGAGTACGGAACTCGCAGCAAGAGTCGCTTGTGGGATTAGCGGTTGACGGAAGAGGCAGAGCACCGCAGCGCGCTACAAAAGAGCTCCCATATATGAATAGGGGTTCGTGGCCAAGGGAAAGTTGGGAAGCCAGATACGTATCTATGCGACGCGCCGTTGCGCGGACTTTCGCATGTGCTCGTGTCTGCTCGATCTCCGACACTTCACGTTGCGTCTACTTGGTCGGCATGCATGCCGATGGGAGCAGTTAATGTAAGTTGTGGGTGAGTCTCAACTCAAAGCGGACCTGAACAGATGGTCACAAGAAGAATCGAAATAGGAAGGTTGGGCGGGACCACGGGCCAACGCAGGAAGGCCTCACCAAATCCAATACTTTCATCAAATTATCCCTCAGAAGAAGAGCATATCATGGTCAAGTGCTCACCACCGTGTCCAAAACACAAAACCACGCATATTTGTTCGTTCGAATCCTCGCGGCGCCAGCTACCAGCTCATCGGCCGTCTTTTTCGCAGCCCGTCGGAGCTTGGTTGATGACTTCTACTTACCTTGGGGCTGTGTCGGTGTTTGGTCGTCTCACCATGAATACATCAAAACACACAGGGCCCGAAAGCGAAAATTGCAGTAGTACATGAAATCCAGATTGGATCAACTTGACGCTTCGCTTCCACGAGGTAGGCACCCGTAACGAGGCGTCGTTTGCCATGATTGACCTCCCTACCCTAACCCGAACCCGAACCCAGGGTAAACCGTTTTCGCTGAGGTCTCTGGTTCCTCTGTGTATGTATGCCATCTGCGGGCCTGGGGACCGCTGCGAGGTGGCCGACACCCCGCGCTGTCCCCAGGGTTATCTTGGGCGGCCCTGCACTCATGTTGCACACTGTATCATCATGTATCTGTATAGGTGCACGCTTAGATAGACACTCACTCGATGGTTCCTGCTTGGAAGTGCCTGCGTTCAAGATTTTGGTCGCGGGTAGCGTAGTAAATTGTCTGTGGGGGCTGTATTATTGTCGTACTCGAACGTCCGACGGCCGCCAGTACTCACGGAACAGGTCATTGTGCATGGGAACTTTTTGAAGCTTCCTCTTCCCGCGGGAAGCATATGTGTCCGGAATATGTTTTCGCGTGTACCCTTTCTGCCGGCGCCAAAATGCGAAACAGAGAGTGAACCTTCAGCTCATCATTCGCATTACTCTCTTTATTTTCGGACCTCGATCGTACCGGGTGTAGTTTGATACAGTCGACTCTTCCACACTGGTGGCGTTGCCTGGCACTATTTTTGTGTATGTCCATTACCCCGAACAACCAGCCTTGCCGACCGGCAAACTACCGGAAAACAACTTTAGCTACGGGTGATGTATCGCAAACACAGGGAGGAAAAAAAACAACTCCGAGGTTTTGAGCCGTTTGTATTCGTGTGCTGCTGCTGGTTTTAGCGTTTGGGTACACGACCCCGAATTCCAAATAGTAGTGTTTTGCTTTGATGATACCGCCGTTTTTTGTGAGTTGCATCTTCTACATCGCCCCGAAGTCTCTTTGGTATCCTCAAAAACCTTCTAGTGGCCAGGGTCAGGGATTAGGATCCCGACGTAGGCGAGCTTTTCTTGCAAAGTGAGTTTTTCTCTCACTTCCGTGCCAAGCCTGGGTGGAAATTGCCAGTTTGTGTGTATCTAGAGAGAGGAGTCCTACGCTCTTCTGGCATTGAAAATCGAAGGTGCACAGCACCGCAGGAGGGGTGAGTAGGGGGCTCAGGGAGAGGAACCCTTCAGTGTGACCACGGGTTGGAGAAACGGCACAAGTTCTGTGAGCGCTGATTTGAAGTGAAGACAAAGGTAAACTCTACGGTATTCATGAGAGATGCTGTGTGACGTCCACGAAGTGCTTGGCAGCCTTCGACGGGACCAGCTTCAAGAATCCCGTGTTTGTCTATGGCCTGGTGCGATACGTCTGAACTCCGAACTCGGAGGGGTTGGAGGGGGACCCGCAAGCAACAGGCCCCGCGGAGTAGATTTCGGCCTTGCCTATCCGGCAGAATGTTTGCCTGAACCTGGTATTTTACTATTTTTCAGGGCTGTGCACGGAGTAGAACCGCTGCGCGGAGCGGTTTTTATTTATTTTTTAAGTTTCACGGAGCGGAGCAGAGCGTTTTTCTTCATTTGAAAATATCACGGAGCGGTTTATCCGAGGGCAGAAGTCTCACGGAGCAGTTTATACGTAGTGCGTTGTTTTTCACGGAGCGGTTTCGTTTACTCCGTAGCATCAACCGCGCGAAACCGTGGCGTTGAGCACAGTTTTCCGTCAGAAAAAAAAGTCGAAACCGCGCGGATATCCGTACAAAATCAACGGAGTAATTTCAATTTCGTGAAAAACGTTGGGTTTGGTACACCGAAGGCCGATTTTCCCGCAAGGTGTGCTGTGGTTGGAGGCCGCCGGTGACACCGTATGCGTCCTGGCCGCTAGGACAGCCCAAACAATCCAAAAAGCAAAAGCAAAAAGCAAAAAGCCAGCTCTCAATTAATCGACTACTCAGAAAGGAACCGTTCCCCGCATCGTGCCTCCTCGACTCAAGTCATACGTTCCTGCAACATGTACAACAGCAGATAATTCCTCATTCGCCAGTCTTTGAAACTTGCCAGTACTAACACTCTGGTAACACCAGGCTTGTGGTGTATTAATCCAAATACATACGCCCCTACATAACGGGCCCGGAGATAAGAAACATCAAAATCAGGTCGAGCCTCAAAATCCTATTTTGGGCAGAAGGACCAGCAGAAGTCGGCCCAATTTCTTAAAACGGATTTCTTATTCCTTTGGGCTGTCGCATCCTGCTCGTCTCTTGTTTCCTTATTTTCTTTTCCTGGCGAAGAAAGGAACACACACACCAGTACAGCAGCAGTGGCTGGTGGGTATAGCGCGGCCCGCGGCGGCGCGGGGGCGCGGGGGGCGCCGCGAAAATATCCTCCCCCCCCTACCAATAAAAATAACATGAGCGAGGTAGGGGTCGGGAGTATGGCAGCAGCAGCATCATCAAAGAGACGTTTCTTAGTGGACGTGCTCCCCCAGCAACCCCTCTTGTTTCTTGTATGTATCTGGGGGGTATCGCACGATCAGGGCAGGTTTGTTTAAGGCGTAGACAAAGGCGAAGACAAAACAAACCGAGGTTTATTGAAACAACTCGAATTGCCATACTGTTTATATTGGGGTACCCGGAACGCATTGCGTACTGCGGGGCCCCCTCGGTCGAGAGGAGGAGTCGCATGTGTTACCATTCTGTTGAAGCCTTGTGTCCACAGAGTCTTAGCGTGCCAGAGAGAGAGTATCGCAGAGACAACTAGCGAGGTGGTCACATAGAAGGCTTCTAGTGGTGTGCCAGCCTCTGGAGCTGACAGGAAGTGGAGTCTTTTTTTATCGCATGATCATGTTTCTTATTGAGACGTTTCTTATGTTGTGGCCGAGATTGAGCTGAGTTTCTTAGCCCTGTTTTCTTATTTTTTGTTGAAAGATGCGCCAATTTTTCTTAGCAGACTTTTTCTTAATTGCGGGCCGGTTCTGTATCTCACTCAGTCAGATTCGACATCGACAACCACTTGCTCTCCCGCACGAGCGGCTTGGACAGATGCAGCTTTTGCCTTCCCAACAGACTGCGCTGCAAGCAGATTCCCCAACTCCATGTCCAACTTCGTGTCCAACTTCATGATGTCGGGAATAAAATGGGGATTAGACCTGAGGAACATCACCATCTCGACAAGGTCGTGCAGCATCGACTGCCGAAGATTGTTGTACATTAATCCCAGCCCCGAAAACTACCTTTATCATTGGCAACTAGTGCTGTCAATGCAAAGGTACACGCGAGCAAGCATGGACAAGATGGGGAATTGCGCAGCAGAAACAACGTTTCCGTGGAGGTCAAGACGCGGGCTGCCGGAATTCTGCCAGAAACCGAGGACGTCATAGTGTTTGTGTGTGGCGCGGACTGCTGTTGTGTGTGTTGGCACGGTTACTATGTTATTTGCGTGGCTGCTGCGAAGAAGTAGAATTGAAAAAAGAAAAAATGCCGTGACTCCGTGGGAAAACCATGACTATATTGCGGTGTTATTCGTGTTTGTGTGACGGAGGAGCTCAAACCGCTCCGTGAAAAACCCGCTTGGACGGATTTTTGGGAAATCCCACGGAGCGGTTTATCCGAGGGAAAAAATCTCACGGAGCGGTTTAATCCGCTCCGCTCCATAAAAAAAAAACGCGCCGTGCACAGCCCTGCTTTTTTTCGGTTAAGAGGTAGCGGGCATGCCTACCGTTCTTCCCGTATCTAGAAGTACACGAGAGGGCATCAATTTTGCCATGAATTGAGGGTGGCCGTCGGGGTTGGGCGGGCATCACGGAGCCTCGGCAGCACTTCTGTGCTTTCGTCGCGAATCTTTGTTTTTGCCCCCTTATGCTTCATTGGTTTGCCCGATAGACTATTTCACGGGCTTAATTCGTCTAGTGCTCGATTCCATCTATGCACGAATATACGAGAGTTCTTTGCGATATAGGATGATGAGCGGTCGTGATGGCTTGGCGGGCATCGCTACGCGGTTGTACTCTACCGGTTTGGCTGCAACAGGCAATCTGCTGCCAGACTATGTAGGTGACCGCATGCGCAAGTGGAAAATGCGATCACCGATTGGGGTACTTTCAAAAGTGATTTGGTTCGATCATTGGTTCTATTCATTCCGCTAGCAGTTCCCCTGTGTACCAGCACAACGGGGAGACGCGTTCTTTGCGGTGAATTGGGATGAGCCGTCATGGTGCTTTGGCGGGCCACGTGACAATGTGTGTATTTTGGAAGGGTCGACTGTGCTAACCGGCAGATCATTGAAGGCCTGTTTGTGTTCAATGTTTACCTTATTCATTTTCAGAGAACTCCCTCCGCATTCTCCTACCCAATCCTAAAACGGGCGAATCGTGTGTTGGTGCATCGTGTAACCACACGTTGTTCACCCATGCCCGCCGTGTGTACTTTTTTTGAGCTTGGATGACCAAGAAATGTTTCATACCCTTTGTGCGGCACAATAGGTTGGTTGCCCATAATTTTCTTCGCCGTTTGTATGCTTCAAACGGAAGAAATCGACGAAGTCTCCCAATACCCTTGGTCCTTCGGCAGTTTGGAGGCGCTTACAGTGTTTTTTGTATCCTGGAGCGTGCTGTGCCGTTGTTTTGTGCTGCTCCATTGATCTTTGTCGTGTAATGTTCGCCCTGGCATTACTTCCCAATGGCCTCATCTCTCACTTCGTACTGAAAAAGCCCACAGAGGGTCACTGTGCAGCGTTCATCGTTTGTGGTCGCCTTCATGTTCCCTCAGGTGATATATATGCTTTTATCATCTCCTTCCCTAGAGTGTACTCATGAACAGAGCGCTTCGTTCGGCTAGACACAACCTCAAGGACAAGTGACTTCTGTGAGAGTCGACTCACGACATCACCATCAGGACCTTTGTTCTCGAAGTATACATATGCGAACCGGTCACTGGTGACCAGAGTATTTTTTGCGCTCGTGAAGTAAACACTACGAAAGACTAATATCCGCACTCAGAGTTGGAGTGTTGCGGACGAAACTTACGTTACACAACACACACCTTGTGCTGGAGATTCCGCCTCAAGCCACGACGTTCAGCATGTGGCGCTTGCGCTCTACCTGAACCTATTGGTTGTGCCTGGCCGTACATTGGCATGTATTCCGGCTATTTAGGGTCATGAAGTATATCTACTACGGCGCGGTGTTCTGACAACACTGACTGTTCACCTCCAAGACGGCAAAGATAGTTGATGACGGCGCCAGGCAGCGGCTGATGTGTACCATAAACATAACACAGCGATGACAACCATACCCCGACCGCCTGCTCATTCACGGCTCATCCACCCGATTTTGCGCGATCTGTTTTTCTTGCACTTGCATGTGGGTTGAACGCCTGCTCGGTAGTAGTTCTTGCAACGTAGCTTCATCCACTTTTGGGGGAATGCCATGGGTTCCAAGCGGACGGAGGAAAATATTATTTTACCCGCGCTTATGCATAGACGCGGATGCCCCCACACGACACGAAATTAACAGCGGATGCTGGAACCATGGTCAACCGCCATGTGCAGTACCATTTTTCGCTTTGGCACTGGAATAGAGGTAGAGATGTTTAGCTCAGGCTCAACTCGCGCCCTGCGACCTAGCAGCGGCCGCTCACGGCGACGCGGCCGGAATAGCCCTACTCTCAAATCGACACAACACCGCACGAGCGCGGCTTGCGCCGCTGAGTGTGCCACCCTCTCCTCGGAGCCCGCGGGACGTCCTCTCTGCGCAAGACGTCGCCGCCCAGGGCGCCGGGCGCCAAGCGCCGGACGAGCTGCCCGTGGCGTCGAAACCGCTCCATAACACGTGTTGGCACCTGGTTCTGCACCTCTGACCTCTTCGGGCGGAACTGTCAAGAGATGGCCATGTCATTCGGCGGAACCCTCGATCGGTGTGCTTTGGAACTTGAAATTATCACAGGACTCGGAACATGTCTAGAAACAAGCAATCACACATGTCTGCCTTTAAACACATATGTGTTACTTGCTACGAAATGGTAAATAAGAACTTACTACACCATCGTGTGACACTGCTACCTTGCGTGCGTGCGACCGAAAGTGGGCCCAGATCGTTCCCAATATTGTGAAAAATGTGGCAACTTGCCGCATGTTGCGAGAAATAATTGTTGCTCTCGGAACTCGGAACATCTCTATTCTTGAGCTATGTTTCTGGGGGAAACGGTGATGTGTGTGCGAAACAATCTACTATATCTGCTTAGGGTTAGGGTTACCTCTAGACCGCGACTCTAACAGCTCGATCGCTCCAAAGCCGAACACCTGACGAGAGACCGAAGAAAGTTCTCGACAAGATCGTCCAAACCTCTCGTTTCGGGGTTGGTGCTCCTTAGTTGTGGAGTGACTAAGTTTTGAAAGTCGGTCTACGGTGGGAGAGTGCGCGATCACTCGCGCCATCTAGATTTGACATTGAACTGTGTACCATGTATTCATTTGCAAAATTTACTTTTTGCTCTTTGAGGTGCACTGGGCTCTTCGAGTGAAAAATACGCCAGCCGTGAATTATTGAACTTGGGAAACGTAGCAACTGGCAGCCTACAGCCGGCGGCCAGCTCTGGGCTGGTTGTGCAATTATCATACTGTCTTTTGGTCATCTTACATCACCCCCTTGATGACACTGTGCTCAAAGTAGCAATTTAGGGTTAGGGTTTGTTACATAGTTGTGTTTTCAGGTCGGTAGCCGTGGAGACTGTTCGGGGAGCGGTTTGTCTGCTTTCAAGCAAGTAATGACCTGTTCAGAGCAGCTTTCGACCGCTTCACCCGAACAGAGCGATTCAAAAACGCACGCCCTTTCTCCGTGGTTTCGCTTGCTGCTGCCCAGACACACACACCCGCCAAAAGTCTAAACCATCCGCTGAGTAAAGCGGGTATGCCAATCAAGTAGCAATCTGAGAGATGGGACGCGGTTGCGGCTCAACAGCTGGTGCTGGTGCAGGTTCTGTCTCTCTCATTACCCTTGCTTTTGAACACACCCTGTTCTCGGTTCTCTACTCTCTTCGCGTCCAATTCCTGCCGCCGCTGCTGCTGCGGTGTATGCATACGTGTGTCCACCTTTCAAATGTTTTATTCTTCGGTAGAAACCCAGGCTGCCCCGTCTGGGTTCTATGCCTGTCTAAGTGCTGTTGTGAAGTGGCGTTCCTCCCGTATATTCGATTGCTTACTATTTTTCTGGTTTTGCCGACTGTCTGTCTTAATAACCCCGGCCGGTGCGCCCCCAACACCCCATTCTATCTTGGATTGGTAAAAGAAGAACATTGACATCCCCGAGGTTTCGTCGGTGGAATTCCTGCAAGCCGTCGACGCACCTGGCGTGCCACAACGTACACGAAACGTAGTGGTTGTGTTTGATCGTGTTCATTCGCAGTGTCGAATTTGGGACGTACGCTGCCACCAGCATGGAATATTTTAGAAGAAGTAGATGATGGAGCGTGTCTCCTCAGAACAATCGCTACAAACGCCTTTGGTGACCCATGACATCAAGGACAAGTACATCATGACATTGTCACACACATGCACCACCCAGCCACTTGTTTACACCGAAACATCAAACAGCTTCAGATTCAAACCAATAACATCCAGGGTTCAACCATCTTTACTATTCGCTTCAAGACTGCCTGTCCGTATGGCTCAACCATCGGCCTAGGCTGGTCATATTGAAAATGCTGCTGCACCGCAATTGTACGGACTTACCATAGACGGTCATCAATGGCACTCAATTTCCAACCACATGGTTTGGACTACTCTTCGACTCCAGTTTACTCCTCCAACCAAACCTGCTCGACACCGTGCTCTAGCCCTACATGTCATTCTTATTTGTATTGTCCACGCTGTTTTCCTTCCTCTTGCATCGCCCCTCGTGTTCAAGCGCATCCATTTACCCACTCCGGATGGGATTCTTGTATATCTTACATTTTTTTCCGCCCAAACGATGGTGTTGGATGTCACGGTGTAAACGAATGGTTGTCACGGAACGAGATCGACCCTGCACTCTGTTTGCTCCTCCCGCGCATGAGCATGGTCTCGGGTGCAGGCTGCCGCAAACCAACGGCGGCGAGTTCAACCTCGTTGCGCCCAAACGACCCTGTTGCTACATCTCTCCGCCGTTCGTTTTGCGTATTTGTTGCGAACTCGTCTCTAATTTGTGGCAGCTTGCGCCAAAGCATGAAGGCCAACAAAGCAACTCCCACGGGCGAGTGGAAGGAGGAGAGCACGGTGTTTGCGGACGTGGAACCCGTGGAGCTAGAAGGCTCGTCCGTTCGGGTGTACGACTGCGCTGGACAGGTGACAAGTGTTGTTCACACCGACGCATTTATGATTGATGCTTGACGGAGGTGTTGCGTGAGACCGTTCCAGGAGAGTTCGCTGTCCGTCTTAGATGCGAGTGATCACGACCAGGTAGAGGAAGTATTGCCAACAACAGCGAAATCCTGCCCTCTATATCTCCAAATGCCTTTCGGTTCTCATGTGCCCATTGAGAGTTGTCTTTCGCGACACCGAACAAGCTCAGGTACCACTTCATACACTACAGGACTTGTTTCACCACAGGCCTGCGAGATGTATCACCCCGAGTGGGGGACAGCACGGGTGTAAAGTGCTTGGGGGTCACGGGGCTGTAATGAATTTTGTGCTCATCGAGGCACGTGCGCCGAAATTGTTCAAGGCGTTTGGCCTCAGTCTCGGGAAACGGGGAACCGCCGACGCCAGTTGGGTGCGTTTTTCTTTTCCGCAGTTTTCCTCCAACACGTTGCTTCCGGATGGCAAAGCTTGAAAATGCCACTTGAGTATGCAGGAATCGCAACGTGCTTCGTGATTGGACCACACTGTGAAAGTACTTGCTTTAACGCGCCACATGACATCTTAGTCTTTCCTCCCTGCCCTACAGCACCATGGTTTTGCCCAAAATGAAGTATTCCCCCTAGCTCTCCAGTGGCGTGGTTTTATATATTGTGTATTCTGGCTGCTCGATTCGGAGGTGCTCCGATCTCGGAGAGCCTCGAACAGTTCGATGAGGGACTGTGTTTAAGTTGGGGAGAGGTACACTCCGCAACGATGAGAGGCCAGGTGGTCGATGCTGCTTGATGTTAAGCTCACTTTGCTCTCCCTCGACAGGTTGCCTACTCGGGGCTGCTGCAGATGTTCTTGACGCCACGGTCGGTGTGCGTGCTTGTGTGCCACGCGGGGGAGTTCGGACAGCAGCTAGGTAGCGACAACATTAACCAGGTTGAAGGAGACTGCCGCAAGCTGGAAGCATTGCGCATATGCGATTGGCTGCGGTCGATATCTCGTCGCGTTCCTGGCAACGACGTCATTCTCGTCGCCACCAAGTGTGACTTGGTGAGTGGGAACGCTGAGGAAACTGGCCGAAGACTGGAGCATGCCTGTCGGATGTGGCTTTCGACCTGGGTTCGCAATGGGATGGACCCCGTCCGGCTGGAGCCCCACGTTTCCCTCACGAGTTGCTTTCCGATAGGAGATGGTGAGCATGGCGAGAGCAACACTGGGAGTGATGCGTCGAAGCAGGGTTGGGCGTGTGACTGGCGACACGTGGAAGGCGATAAATCCTCGCCAAGTTTGCTTTACCGGCTCGTCAACAAGCCTGATGAAGGTGGGCTCCGAGGCGTCCAGATGGTGCTTCCTCGCAGCTGGGATATCGCCCTCACTGTTCTGGAAGCTCTCGAGCATGGACGGTGAGCTTGATCATGGCTTCATGGTTGGGCTCTCTAACGAGTTTGGGTACCTTCGTATGTCGAAGCTGGGGCGGATGTGGACACTTTCCTCACCTATCGTTTTGGGTAGGGTTGAATCCCCACTACGTTCAACACCCGCGCTGACCTCTATTCAGTACGTCCTCTTTGGCGTTGGTCAGGGTGACGAAACGTAGCTCCGTGACCCCATGTCCCGTCGAATTCACGCTTTTCGATTCTTGGGCCTACATGCCCATATTTGTTTCGCGAATGGCCTTCTTTAGAAATCTCGATAGTTTGTGTTTTGGCCTACTTGCACTAGTATCCCTTACGATGCAGAGGTATGGATGCAGTCCTCGAACACTGGCGTACCACGAGCGCCCACGAGATTCAGAGTTTGGAGATATAAAATCGTTTGAACCTATTATTTTGTTAATGCTGCTTTCCCAGAGATCCGGTGGAGATGGTAATGCTCAAGTCCCCCGACAGTGACAGACGTCCAACGGAAACAGCAGTAGGCAAGACAGACGTGTATCAGGCGATCAAGGTTGAGGAACTGGGCACCAACTGGCGGGAAACAGTTGATGAGCTTGGGAAGAGAGGGATCGTGGTGACAAACGCCGAGAATGCTTTGGAAGGAGCTCTCTCGATCAGGTAAATGGATCAAATCGACGTTTCGATATGGTGACCTCCTTTTTCACCACGCTTTAGGGCCTACTATGGCCAATGTTAGGTACGGCATCGCTGCAGTTCGGTGTACATGGTCGCTTAGCACGCTTATGTATCTCGGTCTCGAGTATTTTTGTTGGTCCTGTTGGAAAAGAAAAGACTGTCGGAAAAGACATTGCAGAGACCCTTCCCTCCAAAAGATGACTCCGCATGTATTTTGGACTTTGTATTCCTCCTGGGCGGATTTTCCAACTCGAACATCTGGTTTCACATTGTTGTGCATGCAGGGAGTTCGACGGGTCCCTCGTTCGCCACGAAAAATTTGTCTTTCTGGACGTCGTCTGGCTGGCGAGAATCCTCAAGCCCCTGCTCAACCACAAGGACCAAGAGACCTTCGACGGCCGTGTGAATCTTGGGGACACGGGCGACACACCTATCACACTCGACGATCCATCAGACATCGCTTCGTGGGACAGGCTCAAGAAAGAGGGTGTGCTTGAACCCAGGTTGGCGGATGCCATGTGGCCGGATGGTCTGTCCGAGTATGTGCTGCCGACTCTGGTAGCCATGGGTCTCACTTTCCAACTTGAAAACGATCCTGCTGAAGGCCTGGTAGTTCTGTTGAGGCTAAAGCCACACCGCCCCGAGAGTGTGGGCAAAGTGATCGATACCTTCTGCTCGGGACTCGCCACGGCATTCCGCGCCAGTTGGAAGATCTTCCTGGGTGTACCGCCGGGTGCGGTCGAAAAGGTGTTGACGCGGTGCTGCGGTCTTGGTGGTGTGCAAACACTCTGGCGATATGGGATGCTTGTTCATGGCGGCCTCGGCGTCCGAGATGAGCGCAGGACATTTGCTGTGGTCGTGGAATACTCGTCCATCGACAATGAGCTTGTTGCTCAAATTTTCGGCGATATCAGCACCCCAGGGCCGTGGATGGCGATGTCATACGTGATGTCTGCCGTGAGCTTGATGCTGGTGGATTTTCCAGGACTGCGCTGGAAAGGCTCTCTGAAATGTCCTCAGCATGGTGACGGGATGCTCTTTGCGAACAAGGTAAGCCCTCAACACGTGATCTCTCGAATCGCCCGGTTCTGGCAACAGTCGATCCCGTATGGGATTCGCCGTGGACGAATAGCGGTGGCTGAACTTTCTCCGGGACCAACGGCACCTGATTGCGACAGGGCGCTCTGTGCGCTCAGTGGACGATACACGAGAGTGGTTGTTCCCAAAGCTCCGCCGTTGATGTCCTTCATGTGCGTTACCGCCTGAGTCTCACCAGGAGGAACCCTTGAGGTGCAATCGAGCATAACATCACGCCGGGACGGGAAGGGTAAACTCGTCATGCGGTATATTCCATGACGACGGGTGATCACCTTAATTTAATGCACCTGTTTGACATGCCCACCTGTTGCGAGATCCTCTTGGGCCGCCGAGACGCGGGCCGCGTGGACAACGTGGCCGCCGACACCGTGCTCCTTGTGTAGCCTCTTGACTGCTGCGTACTGGTCTTTCGCGGTATATTCACCTCTGTCGGTGAACGTGAATACGCGCTCCCGGTACCACTTGGTTATGTCGGTGAAGTTGAGGACTTCTTCCTTGAGCACGTCAAATCTCCAGAACAACAGTAGAGCGAGGCTTAAGAGCGGGCACAAGATGACTTCGAGGTCCTCCAAGCACATGATTGACCCCGCGCGCCCGTTCTTCATGGTTTTTCCTGTCCTGGTCCCCAGGATGGACATAACAAACAGAGACGGTCGAAAGCGGGTCCGTGTCAGAATGTGTTTGAGAGGCTGCTCTACAACATGGCAATTCACAAATATCGATGGTACGCCACACGCAGTATCTGACTCGTTCACCTCCAGGAAACGAAGAGGGCTTTCGTGGCAATGGGACCGAGTCTTGGGGTGAGCTCCCCCGGGAGCATGGCGAGGTTGTTGAAAGTGAGATTTCGAGTGAACTCTCCCCGCGCGATCGCTGTATGTCGCAGGTTTGTGTCCGCCAACAGACGAATTGCATGGCCTGTGTGGAGGGTTTAAACGGAGTGCAAGAAAGGTGGGAACATTGGGATTTAACTGGTCACAGAACGTCGGGGACGACAACTGAACGTCGTCTAAATACACTGACATTGTCACCGTGGAGTTCGCTGGGCGTGCAGAGCATCGGTTAGCTTAGACCACAGAGCGTACACAGTCAACGCACGTCAATCATGATAAAAATACTGAAAAGCGCCATTCTCTGGCGATTCCGCATTCGACCGAAAAATGTGTATAGGCAGTCGACATACTTGGAAAATACCGCGCAGGACCGTCGCCATAATAAGTAGGACGAAAACCAATAAAACACCTTCTGTACAAGCGCATGCTCCGGTCGAGAATGATAGGAGGCGGCAAAGGAATGAAATGCATTGGGTTTGGAGCGCTAGAGTACTCACGTATTTGGCGCCTGCGGAAGAGGGATCGCATCATCTCCCGCCGAGTGGCTCTACCGTAGGCTGTAAACGCCGCAACACCGGCGACGAATTCTAGTCCCAAGCTTGGAACCGTCTTGACGTAGGTCTGGTTGAGAAAACGCGGGTAGATAGATATTCTTCTCAGGTCTTTTGGGGGGCGCGGGGGGGAGGCATATACCCACGTGTCCCCGGGTTTTCTGTCGAGGCCTCGGTGCTTTGGCGTCCCGTTCTCGCATGGTACTGGCGCTGCTGGCGCTGTGGAGCTGTGGAGATGCCCGAGAGATGGCAGACACCCCGCACACAACAGGGTCATCTTCGCAATCTTCGCATGCATACCCCAGGAGCAGCCGCTAGTATTATAGCCCGCCAGTCGCCCGTCCGTCTGGGCAATTGGTCCAGCCAAACGTAACCCTACAACAAGAAGACCAAGGCTACGAGTAGATTTGCGAGACTGTGTTATGTTCCCTGTTGTGCAGTGCCAGAGGCGGCAAGGGCAAGTTCGCCGGAGGCAGGTGGTTCAATGTGAAAGCTGGTCAATGACTTGTTCCAATTGAATTGGACTGATTTCGAGCTTTGATCGATGCTACTATGTACTGTAACTACAATAGATCTTGCCGTCCAACTCGGTGTGCAAACATGAGGTCACCCAAAAGCTAGCCCGCAGTGCCGAAGCTACACCTACCTACCTATCTACTTACCCAAGGAAATGCTCCGAGAAATCGTACTCCGGCGTGGAGAACGCTTTTATTCGGAAATCGGAGATTAAAATGAATATAACAAGACTCATTATTCCGACTGCAGTCGACCCCGAATCATTTTTTTAATGTATTTTTTACTCCATAGTTTATATATATATACTCCGCAATGAATGGTTGTTTTATTGGAACACGTCTATAATACAGTTCGGTGTGCTGACCCCCGAGCTCAGCTTGTTGAACTGCAGTGGTTGAAAAATACACAATAGTATTGTCTTCGTTATCATTTTTCATTCACCCGACCAAGGAATCCGAGAGTTCTGCCGACCTGCTGTGCTTACTCGGGTCGGAGTGTGAACTCGAACTCGGTGTGCAAATAAGACGCCACCCAGAAATGCTAGATGTGCACAAGCTACACCTCTTCGTTTCTAATACCAAAGGAGTATCCAGAGAACTCGCACGCCGATCGATATGGAGAAGAACGCATTGGGTCGGAAACCGGAAATGGTAGACAGAGTCTTATTCCGACTCTGGCCGACCCCGAATCAGTTTACTTTTCTAGAGATACTCCCGAGTACTAACCACACCACACCTGTGAGCGACATACGAGGTAGAGGCCGGTCTATTTTTCGTGCAAGAGTCGAATATGACATGATTTTCCGCACCTGATGAACGCAAAATCATTAACCGAAAAGCTGCAAAGTTATCGTATCAGATGTTTGTGGAGGTCTGCCGACGCAAGTAGTACTGGTTAACCCATCCGGCTGCACTACAGCAGCTGACTTCGAGTCGTTGTCCATCAATTGTTGTCCCGTGTTGTTGCAATTAATTGCGTGCCGCAGGTAGAGCGAGTGTGAACACAAGCACGCATGCATACCTTCCACAAACACCTCCCCCGCGCTGAGCCAGCCCAACCCCAGCAAAACTTCTCTTCCCACCCGGCCCGTTTTGGCAGCGGCTTGATTGACTCGACAGGCTATCACGTAGGACAGCAGCAGTGGCACCAGCCTCGAGCAGCGACACAGTAATCAATCATCGTCGACTGGGAGAGGTAAGAGTTTTCGATTTTCCCTCTTAAGATTGTAGTCGTTGGCTTTTGTCCCAAAATCTCGTTGAAGTTCTCCGGGGCGCAGACGAAGAAGGCAGAAATCCGGACATACTACTACATGGAGGGGCGCTTTGCGGCGTACCGCTCGGCGGTCGCCCCTACGCTCGTAGGTTGTATGGCGATGAGAAGTGTGTGCGGCAAGCTTGTGTGCGGGTGGAGGTTTCAGATGAGAGGAATTATCTGATGTGTACGAAACGTTGTGCTCATTCGTTCGAAGAGCGGAGACGCACAACAAATAAATCAAGTAATGCGACCGCCGGAGAACAGAAAATCGAACAGGCGTATTCGGCGAGAAACAACACCGCAGCAAGCACAACGTCTAGTTTGTTGTACAGAGATCACGCACCAAAAAAGTACGTGCCCCAACACCACCGGAAAGTACCTGCATGTGCTAACACCACCACCGGAAAACACTTTTTCTATGCGTTTGGGCAGAGAAACAATCTATCTCCCGTACATGATCATGGTCATCATGTGTAGCAGTCGGAGAGATGGCACCCGGTGCGATCGATTTTACTTGATTGTGAATTTCTTCGTGTGTTGTGTCGCACCCTGTTGCGATCTCTCCGACCTCGGTGCGATGGCCGGTGCGATGGCCAATGAAAGGCCCCTTTCAAAGCACATATCCTATTGCTTTAGGAGTAAACTGGTTCCGGTTGAAGGGCACTCATTGACGGTTTTTATCACTTTATATACGTGGTTCTCCCATGTTTGTTTGTGGATTCTTCACTATGGATGTTGGGTACAGCGTGCGCAGCTCTGATCCGCCCCGAGTCCGAGGCCGGGTTTGTTACCTCATTGTTGTTGTTGTTGTGTCTTCATATTAAAAACCGTTCCGATCTCTCTCTACCCAGTACCTTCATAGGTCCGTACTTGTGGATTACCTGTTGGAAATTGTGGGAATCCCTTCATTCCGAGAGAGCCATAGGTCGGCATCCGACCTTTTCTTTTTTGTATGCACTTTTCTTCCTGTGAAGGTTTGACGTTGCGCTTGCCATCGTCGCCTAAGTATTTGTGTCTTCAAACCTTCTCAGCCGGCCTTCAAACTTCTTGTTGATAACTCTCCGTGATAACTTCTCCGCGCATGAGCCATATGCGGTTATGACCTGCGCTTTGACTTTGACGATGGGTATTTTACCTCCCCGTCTTGCATTGGTGAGTACCTGCGTTATATGGAAGGATCGTTCCACGACGCAAACGTCGACGTCTCCTTTTTTTTTTTTTTCCCTCGCACTCCTTCCTTGCGGCGGTTTTCACACCGACCTCGAACTTCTAACGTGGGGTGCAATTTCCTCTCTTCGTACCTTCCTCGTCGGCCTTCTCCATCGTTATGTACATAATGTATACCTCGATTTTTCGGCTTTTCGATTCCGATAGAGACAAGACTACGGACTGACATTTCCCTTTCACCCCCGACGGGACCGCGCGCTCGTCGAGTGCCGAAATTCTTCACCACGTCCTTGCCTCTCCCAACACCGTCCCTTCTTCCCGCCCCAAACAAATCTTCTTCCCTTCTTCTTCTTCTTTCCTTCCTCCCGGACACTCACCACCATCCGTCCTGGATGTTGGCCCCCAGCCCCATTGGGGGGCGGGGGACCAAGCCTTAACCCTAGTATAATTTATTAATTTATTCAGAAAATCGATGTATTCTCGGAAAACAAATGTGTTCTGAGTGGGAATGAAATTCATGACCTTGTGTGTACAAGTCTTGGAGGGAATACTGTGTCGACCTTCTCTATATTGTCTAAACCGGCCTTCCTCGTATTTCCGAGCGGAGGGAGTAGTGTTTATATTGAAATGTCCAAGTTACAATAGGGATACGTACGCGCATTCGCCAGCCCACAGCACGCCGAAGTGTTGCTGTTGTCCTATACGTGAATTGACGAAAAAAACACATCAATACCAAGGGGACCACACCTACATGCCTGCCTATCGTTCGTCGCCCTCTACTACCTGCCTATCGCTCGTCGCCTTCTACTACCGGTACAACTCTACCACTCCTCCACTTACTGCTTCG